AAATTATAAGTATATCTAGTAATTAAAATAGCTGTATTATATATAATTAACTTCCTAAATGCAAATTTCTTTAAATTTCTTATATTAGTGTAAAGTCAATAAATTCTGTTTTTTTTTTATTATTCTGTCAAGCAAATTTTTAAATTGCAAAATTTTCTAAGTACTTTGTAAGAGTATATTAGAGAGATATATACTAATAAATAGTAATTTGGTTTAATCACATGTGAGTACTATCAAGAAAAAGTCGTTATTAGGTTTTCAGTTATATTTTGTATCAGATACAATCTATATAATTTATTATAGATTGTGTTCAATACAAAATAGCCTAATAATAGGCTTTCTCTTAATTGATACTCATTATATAAATTACATTTATATAATCAATAATGTGTATTTATAAAAAGTCAATTGTATATAAATTATAAAACTTATATTTTATTTATGCAATATCTTAAAATTTTCAAAATCAAAAAATAAAAAATATAGTTTTAAAAATGATAAAGCTGCCTAATCATAAAAATAGATAGTATGTGCAATACCATAAAAGTATTCTATAAGAGATCAATGATTATAATCATTATATACTAACTGTATATGTAGTTCACATTCTATAGCCTGACTTCTCAATAGTAGCCTTAGCACACCTCGCAAATTTGTCTCAATGCTAATTTTAACCTTATTCTGTTTCTTTTGAAGTTTCCTGATTATCTTAAAAACTCAAACATGTGCACAACCTACCAATGTCTTCCATCTTCAGTGCCAATCCTTTACTATGTTCTGAGTTTTCAGATAAGCAAACTCAATATGTTCAGATACAAACCAAAAATTAGAGGAAAAGAATAGTTCAGACTGAACTAAAGTGTTATTTCTATATACACATCTAACTCTATTAGGTACATAATTGTTCTTAAACTACTGAACAATCTTATGAGCCTCAACTGGAATATGAATCTTTAATTTATCAAATGTGCAAGTATTTTACTATATGCAAAAATATAAGGGCAAGAATATGCCTCATTAAAATACTGAAATCCTTATCTGTTCTATAGTGTATAGTAAGCCAGACACTTGAATTCTACAGTAGACACTTTGCATAAGGTGGAAATGGCACCTTAAATTTTTAATATATTTAAAATTAAATTTACTAAACATCGAATACTAATTACATTTTCTTAAGAAAAAAAAAAGATTTACTAAAAAATTAATTAAAAATCTTTATACTTCTTGTTTTGAATATTTTTAAATTCAAATTGAACTACATTTATGATGGCTATCTCGAAATCTGTAAGAACTATCAGTGGACTCAAATTGATGTCATGCTTCTTAGCAAAATCTATCAAATCTTGAAACAACTTTCTATAAGATTCTATGGACTTTTCAGTCATTAAAAAGAAAACCAAAGGCATAATTCTTGAGTTTTCATTACTACTGATATAATCTAAAACAGTTATTTACACTATAAAATTAAATTAAATAGTAATAATAAATAAATATCAATACAAAAAAAAATTAGAAAATGAAATACTAAATTAAAAAACTTAAATTAAAAAAATAAAATTACAAATTAACTAAAACATACTAATAGTGTTCAACTTCATAGTTGTTATATCTCAAAAATTATATAAGGTTGAGTTCTAAGTAAAAATATTTAGAACTCCAAAAATTTTTATTTTAAAATTATATAGCATTAAATACTACTAGTGATTCTTAAATTAAATATAAAGATACTATGAATAGTATATAATTGCTTAAAAATGTTTGAGACTATTTTAAAGGTCTTATCTATAATCCAATAAGGTGAATAATTCAAATGACAAATATTATCAGCTGTTGTAAAAATTAATATTTGCTTTGATTTATAATAGTATCACTAATTAAAAAATCTGACACTTTCAAAGTTTGTTTTATATGATCAGTAATAACAAAAATATCCAAAATTAGCAATTCTGTAAGAAGGTCTAAATGATATACTCTTTGAATAGTTTGCTGAATAGCATTAAATGAAGGAAGATACAGATAAATATTTTGAGAGCTGTTAATAATCACTATTTGCACTATTTGAGCTAATGATTCAGAAGTTTGATGTGCTTGTTCTCTAGTTCTTATTATTACTCTAGCAACTTCTGATTGACTTGCACTCACTTTATGATTATAATCTGATATATTTCAAAGGTAAAGTTGATTATTGATTAATCTGGTTATAGCATGTCTGTTACAGCTTAGTAAATCTCTTTTCTCACAATACTAGTAGAATATATTTCTTTAACTTTTATTCTTATATATAAGAAAACTATATATGTTAATTTTGTCTCTGCTACAAATAGATAGAACAATTTTACATATCATACTATTCATTTTAAAGATAAAAAAAAATATGGTTTAAAGAAATATAAATAATATAAGAATAAAAATAAAAAAATATTTAATGTATAATTATAAATATAAACTATATATAAATTTAGTTCTTTTATATAAAATTACTATATTACTGGCAACTTGTACAAGATTTTAGATCTTGTAAGATTTTAAATCTTAGAATATAAAAAAATTTTTTTTTGCAATTTCTCCTTATTGGAAGCAATATGCAATTGAATAAAACTTACAAATTTTATTTTATTTTTTCTTATTTTTAGCTATTTCATTTTTTTTTATTTTTACTATTCAAATTTATATTTTACAAGTTTTAAGATCTATAAATTTAATTTATCAATTTTAATATGCGAGTATAATGGAAGTGGCTTTTAATTACTTGCACTTAAATTACTTACTTTATATAGTAATATTGATCTATTATTTTATATTGCCACTAAATAAAGCAAAAATCTGAAAATCAATAATTACTTTATTTAGATATTAATTAATTTTAAAGAAAGAAAAAAAAAATTAATTGAAAGATCTTATTTAAAACTGATTTAACTTTTTTAATGAAATGATCAAAGTCACAAAATTATTAATTAGATATAAAGTTTGAAGTTTAAATTTTATTATTACATAAGTTATCAATCATTCACTTATTACAGTTATATAATAGTGATAAACTAATTATGATATAAGTAACAGGATATGAAAACCTATAAATTATTTTACTTATTGTCATTATAGTGATATTTACTTATATAAAAATTAGAGATGCATATTGCTGCAATAATAATAGATGAAATAATTTACAGATTTTTATATTCTGTTACTTATATTAAATAAGTAGCATTAAGAAAAAAAGTCACTTCAAAATTTTAATTATATTTTTTTAACAGACATAATCTATTTAATTTATTAGAGGCTGTGTCTACATAATTAAAATTCCAAAGTGCCTTTTTTCCTTAGTAGCACTCAAATAATAAAGTAATTAAACAGTAGTAAAAATGAACCAAAATTCAAATAATTAAATGAATAGATCTTATTGTAGCAAAAACATTTTTTTATTTTTATATAAATAGTTTGCTTTAACTTTTACTAATTATACTTTTTTTTCATAAAATAACTCAAGATTGTAAGTGTTATGAATAATAATGCAATGATAAAATAATCTAATCTAATTACAATTATCTATATGATAACAAGACTGAAATTCCAAAAATAATAAATGTTAATTAAGGTGTAATGAGATGTGGTCTGAGTATTTGTGAGTCTGGGCCTTGTAGAAATACTATTAGGACTTTACTAAATCTCTTTTAACTTTATTGGACAGTTACTTGTATACTTTATATAAATCTGAATACTAATATCTTTACTTTATTCTCTTTTTCAAATATTTTACTTATTTCAAGATTACATGTTATGAGATTTTGATTAGTTTGATTAAAGAAAAATATATCAATAATAATAATAATAAAAGTTAGTATTAATTTATTTTACTATAAAAGAGATTTAATTACTAATAAACACTTTCTCTCTACTTTTATAATGCAAAAAATATCAATTTCTTGAAGTATCACAGAAACAAGAAAAGATGTTAAATGTTTGTCTTGCATAATTAAGATTACATTTCACTTTTTTTAATTTCACATAAATAGCTTGCTTCATCTTTTACTAATTATGACTTTTTTTTCATAAAATTATTCAAGGTTTTCATTATGATATAATTAAGCTTATGTTTCATTTTTCTTAATTTCATATAAATAGATCACTTCAACTCTTACTAATTATGATCTTTTTTTAAATAAAATTAGTTAAGGTCTTTATTATAGCATAATTAGGTTACATTTTATTTTTCTTTATTTTCATATAAATAGGTCACTTCAACTCTTACTAATCATAACTTTTTTTTTCATAAAATTATTCAAGATCTTCATTACAGTATAATTAAGGTTATGTTTTACTTTTCTTAATTTTATATAAATAGGTTGCTTCAACTTTTACTAATTATAACTTTTTTTTTAATAAAATTATTCAAGATCTTTGTTACAATATAATTAAGATCATGTTTCATTTTTTTTAATTTCACATAAATAGGTTACTTTATCTTTTACTAATCATAGCTTTTTTTTTAATAAATTTATTCAAGATCTTTGTTATAATATAATTAAGATCATGTTTCATTTTTCTTATTTTTATATAAATAGATTGCTTTAACTTTTACTAAACATACTATTTTTTCTATAAAATTATTTAAGATTTTTGTTATAGTATAATTAAGATCATATTTTAGTTTTTTTAATTTTATATAAATACAGTCAGAGATATTATCAAAAACAAACATCAATTTTAGAATGTTTCTAGAACAATCCACTAAAAATTTATGGATTTTGATTGGCTTTTGATAATCTTTTTCAAGTCAAAATTTCTGCACTTTTGTGATACCTATTCATGGTTAAATGATATATATGATTAGAGTAGAAAACTTCTAAATTTATAATTCACTTTTACTTTTTTATAATCTACTTTTTTTAAAAAAATAAATAAGACACAGAATATGCAATAATTATATTCAAATATATTAAAGTTAATATATTAAGTCTTTTTTTTGTTAAAAAAAAAAGCTAAACTAATATTCAAGAATAATGGCACAGTCTTCACTAGCTAAACAAGAACTGAAAGCCAAAAAGCTTTCTTGTATATTTCAAGATTCAGTTCTTAAGTACAGTGATCTAAAATTAAAAGCATGTAAGACAAAGAGATCACAATATTGGAGACACACTAGTGATCAAAAGACAACTAATAAATTTAATTCATATTAGAATTTCATGTCTGAACTCGTAGATTTCTAATTTTTTTTAAATTTTTACTCAATATATAAAAAGCATTATAATTAACTTATATTTACTAACTATTTTTATTAACAGCTTGTGGATAACCTGGTTTATAAAAACAAGAGATCTTAGTTTGATGTTAATTCTAATAATGATTTGAGTCTAACTTCTAATTTTACTTTTATTTTTGATTCTAGTATTTACAAAGAGATAATTGACAATAATGAATTATATCTATCTTCAGAGTTTGAAAAAATTAAAGAATTCCTAAATAAAGGTCAAATAGAAAATAGCAAATATATAATTATAAAATTACAACAGCAAATAGTAGATCAAAATTGAGAAATTTTAAAGCTTAAAAAACAACTAAATAAATATCACAAAGTAATAGTTTAGCTAAGAGATTTGCACCAAAAGCAGCATAAAAAAATAAAAAATTAATCAAACAATAGAACTTACAATATTCCAATCAACAAAAGCATATACAAGCAGTTACTAATATTGCTCTAATTGAATATAAATTTATATGTGAGAATATTGAATCTCTAATCAAAGATAATAATATATTTTTTCTAGAAAACCTATTAAACTATATACTTCAAATATGGCTAACTAAATATAATCAAGTAGTTATTAAATTTATTGAAATACTAACTCATAATAATCTTAGTATAGGTTTTGAAA